GACCTTATCGGGTGCCTACCTTTAGTGGCGCTCGCTATTTTTTTACTATTGTTGATGATTATTCTCGTGGTACTTGGATTTTCTTATTGGATGATAAATCTTATGTCTCCTCTACTTTGATGAATTTTTTTGCTCTCATTAAACGGCAATTTAGTGCATTGGTTAAAACAGTTCGCAGTGATAATGGGACTGAATTCACATGCATGCGTGATTATTTCCACCAATAAGGGATTGTTCACGAAACCTCTTGTGTTGGAACCCCTCAACAAAATGGGCGAGCTGAGCGCAAGCATCAACATATTCTTAATGTGGCCCGTGCTCTTCGCTTTCAGGCCCATTTACCGATTGAGTTCTGGGGTCATTGTGTTCTTGCAGCTGGCTATCTGATTAATAGAACGCCCACACCAATTTTATCCGGCAAGACCCTTTATGAGATTTTGTATGGCAAACCTCCTGACTATGCTCATTTGAGAGTATTTGGTTGCTTGTGCTACGTTCATAATCAGAACAATGATGGTGACAAATTTGCAAGTGGAAGTCGAAAGTGTGTCTTTGTGGGTTATCCAGCTAGTCAAAAAGGTTGGTGTGTTTGTGACTTAGATAGCCACAGTTTTTTGGTCTTTCATGATGTGGGGTTTTGTGAGTCCGAGTTTCCGTATTTGACATCCCCTGATACTCCCTCTACACCACCGTTTCATGGCCTCTGGCATCCGATGTTGATGAGAAGGGGGTAGATCTTGTTACGACGGGTGTTGTTGACAATAGGGCTCCTACGCCTACTGATGATAGCGGGGCCTTGCTTCTCCTGGGGAGGTGCTCGGTCGTAGTCATCGAATCAAATGTCCTTCTTCACGTCTTGCTGATTTCGCCTCTCACACTATTTGCTCGTCCCCCCACTCTGGCTCCTCCATCACATCCTCGAACTCGGGTACGCCTTATCCTCTTGATCACTATGTTTCTTGTACTTCTTTTTCATCTGCACATAAGTCCTTTCTGGCTGCCGTCACCTCTGCTGTTGAGCCTCAGATAATTTCCAAGGCTGTTAAAGACAGTCGTTGGCGATCCGCTATGCAACTGGAGATTCGCGCTTTGGAAAACAATCACACTTGGGATGTTGTTTCTCTTCCATCTGGGAAACATGCGATTGGTTGTAAGTGGATTTATAAAATTAATAACTCTGATGGATCTGTTGCGCGCTATAAGGCGCATTTAGTTGCCTTAGGTAATCGACAGGTTGAAGGGATTGATTATCAGGAGACATTTGCACCTGTTGCCAAAATGGTTACAGTGCGGACATTTCTTGTTGTCACGGCTACTCGCCATTCGGAGGTTCATCAGATGGACGTGCACAATGCATTTTTACATGGGGATCTGACTGAGGAAGTCTACATGAAACTTCCTCCGGGCTTTCATTCTCCTGAGCCCAATAAGGTATGTCGGCTACGCAGGTCCCTGTATGGCTTAAAGCAAGCCCCTCGGTGTTGGTTTGCGAAACTTGCTACTGCGTTGCGTCAGTATGGTTTTCAGCAATCCTATTCTGATTACTCCTTATTCGTCCTTCATCGTGACTCGTTGAGCTTGCATGTTCTGGTATATGTCGATGATCTTATCATTTTTGGGAGCGACCCCACCTCTATTGTTGCATTTAAGGACTATCTGGGTCGATGTTTCTATATGAAGGATTTGGGTTTATTGAAATATTTTCTTGGCATTGAGGTTGCTAGAAATTCTTCGGGCATTTTCTTGTGCCAACGGAAGTACACTCTTGATATTGTGACCGAGACCGGTCTACTTGGTGGGAAACCGGCAGACTTTCCCATGGAACAAAATCACCAACTTCCCTTAGCAGACGGTCCTCTGTTTTCTGACCCCGAGCGTTATCGTCGTCTCATTGGGCGATTGATCTATTTGACAGTTACTCGTCCAGACTTATCCTATGCGGTTCATACTCTGTCTCAGTTCATGCAGCAACCTCGCCAGGCCCACTGGGATGCTGTTCTTCGGGTGATTCGTTGTTTGAAGGGTACTCCGAGTCAAGGGATTCTTCTTCGTTCTGATTGTGACTTGCAAATTTATGGTTGGTGTGACTCTGATTGAGCGACTTGTCCCACTACACGCTGATCACTCTCGGGCTAGTTTGTACAACTTGGTCATTCACCTCTTTCTTGGCGCACAAGAAACAACATACAGTGGCCCGGTCTTCTGCCAAGGCCGAGTATCGAGCCATGGCGACAGGGGTTGGTTTTGAGTTTTAATTATTAGTATATTTACCAATTTTTTATTATGTCCAGAAAACCAATTCAACGATTTCGAAAAGCATGAAATTGGAAACAGAACTAAAAAAAGAAGTGAAAAGATAACTTGAAAGCCTATATTTAGCCACCTAAAAATCACAAATTCACTAAAATGAAACCAAAAAAGACGGTTATCAAACATAAATATTGGCAGATCAGATATTTTCTGTCACACTTTTCATTACAGGCACATAGCAGGATAATCCAATGATCTGGATGCTAAAAAACCATCCCCCAGAATCAACATACACCATGACTAAGATCATTACCGAAAGATCAAAACTTTTTATATAATAAATCCAAACATGTATGGTAATTACAATTTTATCTGTTTTCACGCATTATCATAATCCAGCATTATCATAATCCAATTAATGGTGTTAGGTGGCAGATTTTTTAATTTGTGAGTGGGGCCCACCTGTTTGAGTGTAGTGTTGAAAATTACTGTAATATTCTTAATAAATGTATATTTTTTACTTTTTTATATATCGTTGGATCATGCGATCCAATTTATTCCCATTTCTTTCACTAAGCAACATTCTCATGTGAGTGCAACCTTATATATATATATATATATAGGATGTGGTTCAAATAAGGATTAAGTCTTATTGTGAAGAACCGCTATTTTTAATTGTGCATAATGCTAGGATTGATTGTGTTTGTGCTATTATTAACGAGGATGAATTTTATTAAAAATAGCAACACAATTTATATTAGCATTTGTAAAAGTGATAGCATCATGTAATATTGAAAATAACATTATATACAATTAAAAATAGCATCAAATATGGTTCTTACGGTTCTCACTACTAGTTTTTATTTGACCCAACTCTTATATATATATAGGGATTGGTTCCAATGCATCCGCTTATTTAAAGTAAGGACGTGAGACTCATTCCTAGCCACAAGATTTAGATCTTGATTTAAATAATAATTCTTCATTTTTATTATTTAATTCTTTATTTTTAATTATTTAAATATTATTTTGACCGTTGACTCTGGCGTTGACCGTTGACTCCGGTGTTGACTGTTGACTTCCGGCGAGAATAGTTGACTTTCGGCATTGACCGTTGACTTCCGACTTTGACCCGTTGACCTTAGTATGCATCATGTATGAAAGAATAATTAAAGTCAACTAACCTTGCAAACTGAATACAACTAAACATTGCAAGTAAAAACCATTGTTCTAAAAGTCGCTAGGCGCTCGACCAGTGCCTAGCGCCTAGAGCGCCTAGTCGGGGCCCAGAAATCAATAGTAAATACCTTATTTTTTATTTATTTTAACTACCTACAAAATAAAATTATCTCAACATATAATAAATTCACACACCAAAGTCCAAATAATAATATTAATATATATTAAAGAAAACATGAGAACAAAATAATGTAATTAGTATTTAAAAAAATTAAAAAAAAAAATTGAAAATTGCCGCCGACCCCGCCTAGGAGCGCCTAAGACCACCTACGCCCGCCTAAACACCGTCTAACCGCCTGGCCGCCGAGCCCGCCAAGGCCGCCTAAGAGCGCCTAAGGCCGCCTAGGCGCCGCCTATCCGCCTGGCCGATTTTTTTTTCCGATTTGTACAAATCGGAGGCGCCCGGGCACCGCCTAGCGCCTAGGCGCCGCCTAGGCCGATTTTTGGAACAGTGGTAAAAACAACTAACCCTGTAATAAGATAGAACTAACTTTGCAACTACAGACAACTAACCTTGCAACTAGAGAAAACTTTGCAACTAAAGACAACTAACCTTGCAATTAAAGACAACAAACCTTGCAACCAAAGACAACTAACCTTGTAACTAAAGACAACTAACCTTGCAAATTGAATACAATTAAACATTGCAAATAAAAACAACTTACCCTGCAACAAGATAGAACTAACTTTGCAACTACAGACAACTTTGCGACTAGAGAAAACTAACATTGCAACTAGACAGAACTAACATTGCAACTAGACATAACTAATATTGCAACTAAAGACAACTAACCTTGCAACTACATACAACTAACCTTGCAAACTGAATACAACTAAACATTACAAGTAAAAACAACTAATCCTGCAACATTTTTACAATAACTTTGCAACATATTTACACTAACTTTGCCTCACCATATTTAATTCATACACAATACATATTATGGTCAACGGGTCAACGTCGGAGTCAACGCCGAAAGTCAACGGTCAACGCCGGAGTCAACTAATAATTATTTTTACTATTTAATTAATGTATATTTTAATTGATTAACATAAATCCTTTATCTAGACAAAATGAGTGGCTAAGATTGAGTCTTACGTACTCATTTTAAGGAGTGCTATCATTGGATCCACCACATATATATATATATATATATAGAGAGAGAGAAGAGATCATATGAGAATGGGAGATAGTGAAAGAAACGAGAATAAATATACACTGTAAGATCTGCCAGATTAATGGTCAAGATGGGGTCACAAGTGTTAGACCACGCAGAATTAGGCGATGGCACATTCGTAATTTCACTGTAAAATTAAGGTAAATTTTCTATGTCAAAGGGCATGGGCGTAATTACTTGTGTGAACACAAATGCTTTAATGGGCTCCACAACCATCCCAACCCATTCTCTCATCTCTATGTTTTCATCTCCCGATCTGCCATATCTCTCTCTCACCCACCTACCATCCCTATTTCTCTTCTCCATCGCTCAATACTTCTCTCTCTCCAAAAATTACAGGCTCGTCGGCGTGAAGATCCCACACACACCACCAACTCTCATGACGCACGCAGAGGAGATCAGAGGCGTCTTCCTCCATTGGTCGGCGGCCGACGGAACTGTTGTGACGCGGCGGTGGCGGTGGATGAGGGCGTTACGACGCGGTGACTGACGGAGTGGAAAATATGTGCTTGTGGACGGAGGCGAGGCATCGAGCCGACTGACAGAGATGAGGCGGCGAGCCAGCGGCGGAGGAAGACGAGGAGTCGCGTCTGCTGAAGGTGACGATGCTATGAAGCGGCGAACTGCGGCGCGACTCGACGGCGAAGGCTGTCCGGCGGCGGCTGCGTGTTGTGTGCGAAACGACGCCGGCGGTGCGCTGAAGTAGATGGACGGCCGGGGAGGAAAAAAATGTTCATGATTGATCTATTTCATCCACTTGTGAATTGTGGGGTTTTTGTATGTAAATTAGATAAATTATTGGGGTTCATTTGCAATTTTAAAAATCTGTAATTAAAATAGTGAGTTGATGCTTGTTTATTTGAGTTATTGATGAGAACACAATTGGTGTTTAATTATATATTTTACTACAAGTATTTAATGAAAATATGTTAAATATAGAGTGTTGATAAATAATTTTAACAATATATGTATGGTTATTCACTTAAAATTACATAAAATTATTATTAGCATTTTATATTTTTCAATTAATAATTTTATACTATTGTTTGAATAAAAAAATTAGTATATACGTACATAAAATATACTATGCAATCTAACAGTTATTAAAGTGCAATTCGTACAACACTATAGTGCACGGTGTCGATCTGTATAATGCATATCGGACCACCTGTATAATTGTCCCAAGTCAAATTGAAAAAGAACATAATTAACTTATATATTCGGTTGGGTTAACCGAATTATCTAAAATAATTAAAATATTTTTTATTTATATCAAGATTATATTTAATACGTTAATAATCTGATTTATTATTCTTTATATTATTTCAGGCTGAAAAAATTCGAGTTCGGTCGGTCCCAATCTATATTGTGCAATCTAATAGCGGTTAAAGTGCAACGTGTTGTTCTGTAAAGTGCAACTCGATTTTTTATAAAGTGCAACATAGTGATGTGTAAAGGAAGTGATGATAAAACGTGGTGTGTAATTATAAAGTGCAACGTATTATTTTTTAATGTGCAAAATGTTGTGTTATAAAGTGTAATCTGATGATATATAAAGTGCACTAATTATATGATCATGTATAAATTATGTGATTTTTGAAACCTAGAGTAGACATGATTGAACATCGAATTACCTAAATAATTTAAATAAATTAATATTTATTATTATAAAATTATATTTATTATTTTAATATTTTTATATATTAAAATTTTGCATATCAATTTATTTATAATTAATATGCATTTATGAGAATATTGTTATAAATTACATATTTTGTCATGAGCTAAATTAAAAAATACCTGCGGCCGTCACTATGATAAAGTGCAACGTATTGTTATTAATGTGCAACGTAATGTGTTATAATGTGCAATCCGATGATATACAAAGTGCACTAATTATATATCACGTATAAATTATGTGTTTTTGAAACCTAGAATTGGTAGACATAATTGAACATCGAATTAGCCTAACAATTTAAATAAATTATTATTTATTATTATAAAACTATATTTATTTATTTAATAATTTTATATATTAAAAATTTACTTATTAAAATTTTTAAACATTATTTACTTTATTTATCATTAACATGCATTTATGAGAATATTGCTATAAATTACATATTTTGTCATGAACTAAATTAAAAAATAACCAAAATCAATAAAATTGCAAAATTGTCCTCAACAATATGATTTTTTTTTTAAAAAAAACAATTAGACCATAAATCCCTAATGTTAATTTGTTAATTTAATACACATTTATATTTTAATTTTTAATATTACACATTTATCATATTATTTATTTTTAGCCAAAAAACATAGGAATTTTACATATTAAATAACAATATTGAAATATTATTTGTAGTTTGAATAATTATAAATTTGACCCATAAACTAAATTGTAATATATTAAAATAGCTACAAATTGCAATTAAGACCCTATGGTTTGTCATATTTTCAAATGTGAGCCCACAAAATCTGCAAATTTTTCTACGCGTTTCCCTGACCTCCGCCGCCGTCTCTTCCGACCGCCGCCAACGTCTTCTCCTATCGGACCGTCGACAATTTCACTATTCTCCTCAATACCGACGACGAGTCGACCTCCTTCCCCGTCGATAATTGCAGTTCATGTCGAGGATCGACTAAACGGCGTCGGCGGTGGACTGTGACGGTGGCAGGACTATAACGACTGTACGGGCGGTGCTGTGGCGGCGACGGGACAAGGCGGGCGGTGGTCGCGACTGTCTGCAAATTCAGGCGAGTCTGACGGAGGTAGGTGTCTGGTGAGGCTTCACAGCGAGTGGAATTTGGCGGCACTCGACGGCAGGCGGCAGAAGGCGGTGGTACTCAGCGGCGGGAGGCAGCGGGCGAGTGGTGGTGTAGCTGGAGTGGTCACCGGTGCACAGCCGTGACAAGTGTGTGTGAGTAGGTTAGAGAGAAGTGTTTGCAGAGAGATGTCGTGAAAGGGAGAGAGAGATTGTGGAGGAGATGATTCGGGTGGGACCCACCTGTATAATTATGGTTCTTAGGTGTGGTTAGGTGGCTGATAAATTAATGGGGAGTAGGGTCTACTTGTTGGTGTGTATTGTGGAAAATTATTGGAATATCCTTAATGAAGGTATATTTTGGACTTTTTATAATCCGTTAGATCGTGCGATCTAATGGCTACGATATATTCTTATTTCTCGCATTAAGAGTCATTCTCACCGGAGCGTGACCCTATATATATATATATATATATATATATTAAGAAGATTTCATCACATTGCTTTTTGAATATTGGATATACTGTGTATGTGGATCATGTATGTGGATCATTATGAATATGAACGTCACATTCGAATAATCGACCGATAGATTCGCATGGAAGTCCAATTTTGCAACTTTCACAACAGATTATCTTTGAACATTGTTGATATTGCTGTTTGTGATTGTTATCATTACTTGGAACTTTACTATACGTCCCTAAGCCACAAATTAAAAAGTTGGCCAGAGCACACTAAATGCGGTTCCCAGCATTTGGCAAGCCGCATCATTATATCGAGATATATATTTTGTGATCGCAAATTTAAGTGGTGTTGCTCTCTCTACAGGCTTCTCCACATGTGAGTTAACAATTGGTTGACTTTACTCAATCATATGACCGACATTTTCAAATTATAGACACACAAGTGAGTAGGGTCGGAAATTACTTGAACAATTGGTACGAGTTTTGTCAAAATCTTTTAGTTGTAGCTTACAGAGAGGTTTATAAACCTCCGTTTTTAGGTTTAAAATGCAGAGGTTTGAGGTTTATAAAATTCAACCAAGTTTGAAAATGTATATTGCAAAATCTTTTTAAAATAATAAAAATATAAAGAACAAAAATATTAATGGAGAAAGAGAGTGGTTGGACTTATAATCTTCAACATTTTAAAGGTGAGCTCATTACAAATTCCATAAATCAAGTTGGTCACTGATGGCGAACTTCTGCCCACAATGTGAAAAGGGTAATATTAAATTAGATACATGTAGAAATATATGGGTCCATAAACAGTGGGTTTGTGAGATTTATTTGGAGGTTTATGGTTAGAATTTCAAAATTGAGGTTGTAGATTATGTGGTATATTGAAATTCTAAAAAGGAGGTTTATGAAGCTTTACGCAGTGTTTGGTTCGGGGGAAACTGAGGGGAGGGAAAGGGAGGAGAGAGAATTTTTTAATTTTCTCTTGTTTGGTTCAATTTTTTGTAGGTGAAGGGATTAGGATTTTCCCTTCAAATCCCTCCTCCAAGGAAAAAACTTCTCCCCTCCAAAAGTGGGGGAATTTGGAAGGGAGGAAAAATTTTTAACAACAAAATTACTCTTTTGACCTTATTATGGAATTATTTTATTTTATTGTTTCTTACATCATTAATGGTATAACTGTCATTTTTACAATATTTTCTTTTCTTTCAATTTTTCTAACCAAACAAGGTTTACCATTTTCCCTCCACTCACCTCCTACAAAATCTTTTCAAACAAGGTAAAATTATTTTACATCACCTACCCTCCCCTCACATCCCTTCCATTAAAATCCTTCCCCTCCCTTTCCCTTAAAGATGTTCTAAGGATGTATTTGTCGGCAAATATTGACGTTTACTCGTTGGAATTTGATATGTAACACGTTAAAAGTGTTGCCCACATTTGCTAATTGTACACACCCAGAAAAAAAGTCGAGCCCTAGCTCCCAAATTATAAAGGAAGCTTGGATACAAGATCAAAAAAAAAAAAAATCCAATCATTTTTAACTAATCACTTTTTTAGCTCAACTTTAACTCACCTCCACCATTCTCAATATTATCAATATAATTTAATAATATCAATCAATCATTCATACACATTACATCAACTTTAATTCACTATTCATCCACTCACATAATTTTAACTAACAATCACTTCACATCATCTCTTTCCCACTTTTATATTAAATCGACTTTAATTATTTATTTTAAAATATTATTTTAATATAAATCCAAAATCTCACTAACAACTAACCATATCACATATTCCAAATTAATCAAACCAAATAGAAAAATCCAAACAAAACCAAAAAAAATTATATCCAAGCGTCCCCTAAGCAATCGTAGATCTCAGAATTCATTTTACATACAACTGTCAACCAAAAATAGAATAGGATGAAAACTACTAGAGTAATTTTCTATTGCTCATTCTTTAGGCCTCAAGTTCCTATCCAACTGTAAATTAGAACACGTACCCATGCTTATGTTTGTAAACGAATCCAATTGAAGTGTATACTCAACTATTCATTTGGATTCTTGAAAATATTTAACTAATCCTATTTGTATTCGTATTTAATTCATTATCAAATATAATTCGTGACTCATATTCGATTCGATCAAGACAATCAAATATTTTCGATTCAGTTTGCAATTTATTTTTAGAAATTATTTGTATATTTTAAATATAAATGGGATATTGTTGATTTGTATACTAAAAATTTGGTTTTATTATGAACTTAGTTCCTGTTTTCTAACAAAAATCATGTTTAATCAAATTGTGTGTTTGCGTTGATCTATGGTATATAGTAAGTGAACTGTTCTATTATTTTACATTGTAGATAATATAGTTCGTTGTGTTGAACAAAAGATCATATTATCGGTCTCTTACCAGATTTGTCTCAAAGTGTGCAGTTGTTGAGTCAGTTCATGTCAAAACCCACACAGTACCACTTCTCAGCTCCTCACAAGATCCTCAGGTATATTAAAGGCACAATTGGTCAAGGTATTACCTTTCTAAGAACATCTTCTTTACAGTTACTTGCATACAATGATAGTGATTGAGCAGGGTGTTTGGATACAAGAAAAAGTGTAACTGGTTATACTATTTTTCTTGGTAACTCTCTAATTTCTTGGAAATCAAAAAAGCAACCAACTATTAGTAAATCATCAGCAGAAGCTGAATATAGAGCATTGGCCTCTATCTCTTGTGAAATTCAATGGTTGCTATTCTTATTTGATGATTTCAAACTAATTCCCCCACCCCAGTTAGTGTTTTCTGTGACAGCAAGCAAGCTATTGCCATTGCCACAAATCCTGTATTCCATGAGAGAACAAAGCACATCCAAATCGATTGTCACTTCATAAGAGAGAAGATTGCTCAAAAGCTGATTCAGTTAAATCATATTCCTTCAAAAGATTAAGTTGCAGATATCATGACTAAAGCCTTGCCAGGGCCAGCTTTTCATCTACTTAGATCTAAGCTCAACATGTCCAACATCCATGTCAAGCTTGCGGGGGATAATAGAATATAAAAACTATGTTTTCTTAATTGTTTTTAGTTAAAGTTTTCAAAGTTTTGTAAAGTTGCTATAGCAACTCTTGTATAGGCATATTAATATAAATAACCTAGGGTTACAGACACTATACACTTTTTCTCATTCTTTCAGTTTATTTTTCCGATTTCAATAATGAGCTTTTTCTTTTTTTCTCTCGTTTTCTCTCGTGTTCTTCGATTCTTCATTAATCTTTCACTACAAATCTTCATGCTAAAATCCAATAGTTCAAACTTTGGATTTCCTTCTATGAGTCGCCTATCGGTGAGCCGAGCCGTTAGTTATACCAATCCTTTACCTTGGTTGGTGCATCACTAAGCCGAGCTTTCCACTCTACTGAACTGATGAACTAAGCTTTGCTTGCCGCGGCTTTTGGATATAATTAAAAATAATAAATTAAACTTAATGTGAAGTGTGAGGACGATTGATTGATATTATTTAATTATATTGATAATATTAAGAGTTAAATTAAATTAATTTGAATTTTGTTTTGAATTGAGTAGTATAAAAAAATTATTCAATCAATTAAAAATATTTTTAATCGGTAGTCAATAGAGTGTTTTGGATCCTCTCATGGTAATCTGCACACTACAATAAGATAAATAAAAGATCACATATGCATTATGTCTACATCAATTCCGGTGTATACATTAGTGGGGAGTTGGGAGTGTTCATATTTTCTTTTATTCTAAATGTTTTTTTTTTTTTTAAATTTAATATGTGACATTCTAGACAAAATGACAGTTATGGATAGAGGCAAAAAGTATTATCAATAACCAGAAATTTAAAAATGTTCTTTTCTTTTCTTTTTAATGGAATATGTGACATTCTAGACAAAATGACAGTTATAGATAAGAGGCAAAAGTATTTTCAATAACCAGAAATTTAAAAATATTATTTTCTTTTCTTGGTTTTTTATTTTGAAAAAAAAAAATATAATTTTTATGCTTATTCAACTACATTTGGAGGTCGCATCCGTAATTGAAGTATTACTAAATTACTTATATTGAAGATTAAAAAATTTCATCAATTGTGGTCGTGCCGGAGTGGTTATCGGGCATGACTAGAAATCATGTGGGCTTTGCCCGCGCAGGTTCGAATCCTGCCGACCACGATATTTTTTTCTCTCCTATTTACGCCCTTTGATTTATCCCATTTTGACCTTAGTTCTCACTATTTCAACTGCAATTGAAATGCTTGAAATTAGTAAATTACACCAATTGTTTAAAGAAAATGCTGAGTGTTTTCGTGGTGTATTTTGGAGTTTCAAGGTTTAGAAGAAACTTATAAAAAACCATATGCTGGAATATATTTAGTATTTTGAGTTCCGCCAAAAACAATATGCGATTTTTAAACAATATATTATCGATTTAAAATAATATATATACTAGTATTAGTTAAAAGAAAAAATAAAAGTATATTTATTTATTTAAATGTTTAATATTTACCAAAAATTATTTTTTTATAGTATATTCTAGAACTATGTGTCATGTTTTGTAATGCTATGTGTGAAATTATGATGCAATATGCATCTATTGCAACTTTTAAATTATAAAATATTTGTCAAACTTCAATTATTAATATATCTAAGAGTTAATAACTTTTGTATTTGTTATCAGTTTTTTATATAGGGTATATTAAATTAATAATCTCTCAACGAGTATATAAAAATTAATAAAAAATTTTAAAAAATATATTAAATTTTATAATATATTTATAATTACAATTAATGTTGTTTGGCTGCCTACTCATTGGGTCATCATATTTTCTTATAAAAAACATATTTATTCTATGAATGTGATACTTTATATTTTATTTTTAAGTATGAAAATTGAATATATATTTATTAAAATAGTAAGACTGTCTAACCATAAGTATTACAACAGAAGAGCACCAATCGACTTATAATTTAAGTTTACCAACTATTTTGTAATTTTAAAATTACTAATAGTCATGTAAAATGTTCAAATGCACATATACTAGCACAAAATAAATTGACATATATAATTATAGAACACAAAAAATCGACAAATAAAATTTTGAAAGACCAGAGGTTAACACTTATGCTCGAAAAACTCTGCATTATATTAGAAGAGATATGTAATATTTTGTTAAACTTAAAGTAAAATATATAGTATAAAAAAGTTACATGTTATGAAATGATTTTTATATAAAAAATATTGTTTACTTGTAGTTTTTTTTTTCCTTCATTTTTGTTTGCTAACCATTAATATTTTGTATAAATATATATAGAATGAGTAAGTCGTATAAATACAACGTAAACATAACAACGTAATTTGTTTATTAGGCATTTAAGATTTTAAATAAATAATAACTCTTCTTGAAAAATATATATAATTTTTTTTTAATTAACTCTTCTATTATATAATACACCTGTTGTAATCTACCAGTCAAATATACAATACATGGGTACTTTGTAAAATTAATAATATCATCTCATCCAAAAGCCACATAAAATACATTGGGCACTTTGTAAAATTAATAATTTTTGTCATTTCATATTAATACATATCATCAATTCAAGTCCGACCGACTCCAATTCCGCCGTATATATATACACACACCGGCACGCATTTCCATACATAATCTCTACACTGCCAAAATCTTTATTCATTTCCAGCTATTAATTTTCATACCCTGAAATATAAATTAAAGACGCACAAAAAAAAAGAAAAAAAAAATGGAAGCAAATGCCGCCACCTCCTACACGGTGGAGATTCCCCTGGAAACGGAAGTCCACCGTGTGGTGCCGCCACCTCGCCGGAGCACTTTCCAGAAACTCAAAAACCGACTGAAAGAGACTTTCTTCTCCGACGACCCACTCCGCCACTTTAGGAACAAACCGTTAAAGACAAAAATTGTAGTTGGAGCGCAGTACATATTTCCTATATTAGAATGGGGTCCTAAATATAACCTCAAACTCCTCAAGTCCGATATTGTCGCTGGTCTCACCATTGCCAGCCTAGCCATTCCTCAGGTTTAATTATTAATTAATTAATTACTATTTTTATATTTATAGATTATTATATATGTAAGTAAATAACCTATTAAATTACAAAAGAAGGACTTTATTAATGTAAAATCTGTACAGGGCATAAGTTATGCAAAGCTGGCCAATTTGCCTCCAATTGTTGGTCTTTGTGAGTAATCTTCCTTTTTTTTATTATTATTATTATTATTCAATTTAAGTGATCAAATTATATATATTAATGATAATTTATTAAATTACAGATTCAAGTTTTGTGCCGCCACTAATATATGCTGTTCTTGGGAGTTCAAGGGATCTTGCAGTGGGCCCAGTTTCAATTGCATCCCTAATAATGGGCTCAATGCTCCGACAACAAGTTTCCCCTGCAAAAGACCCAATTTTGTTCCTTGAACTCGCGTTTTCCTCTACTTTCTTTGCTGGCCTCTTTCAATCTTCTTTGGGCTTCTTAAGGTTGTAAACATAGTACTTCACAATTTTATACTCACTAACAAATTAATAGAACTTGTTGGCATAATTGTGACTTTTTTTATATTCATTTTTTTTTTTTTGTTTTTTTTTCAGGCTTGGGTTTATAATTGACTTTCTATCAAAAGCTACACTTATTGGGTTCATGGCTGGTGCTGCTATAATTGTCTCTCTTCAGCAGCTTAAGAGTCTTCTTGGGATTCAACACTTTACTAAGAAAATGGGCATACTTCCTGTTCTCACTTCTGTCTTTCACAACTCTCATGAGGTAATTATTGTCTAATTATTTCCCCTAAAATTTCTTTGTATATATAATTACCATATCACTTATTACTTACATAGTATTATTTTGCTAGACAACATCAACTAATTAACTATTGTTGCTGTAATCCAACCGAAAAGCATTCGTTTTTGGGTTTTCTTTTTCTGTATAATAAGGAACCAATAATTTACTAATCCAAATTCTATATATTTATTTTTTCTTTTTCTGTTTGTTTTCTAATTTCAGTGGTCATGGCAAACGATAGTGATGGGCTTTTGCTTCCTTGTCTTACTTCTCTTGGCAAGACATATTGTATGTAATTCTTTTCCCATACTCTGATCTAATTATTTTCCCTTTTTTCCTATTCAAATGAATATGATCATGTAAATTCATTTAAAATAAGATAAAATTGTCTATACTAGAATATGTGATCACAAAATGTAGGATTTTTTTTTTTTTTAAATCACATTAATTTGATGGCATTTATGAATAATGCAGAGCATTAGAAAACCAAGGCTATTCTGGGTATCAGCTGGAGCTCCTCTTCTCTCTGTTATCATCTCAACAGTGCTTGTTTTCGCCTTCAAAGCTCAAAACCATGGCATCAGCACTGTAAGCTCATAACCAATTTTTCACTTAAAACACATTCAAATTTAATTCCCCTAATGATTTACTTTTATTTTTTATATCTTTTTTTTTTTCGCAATTTCAGATAGGAAAATTGCAGGAAGGATTAAATCCTCCATCGTGGAACATGTTGCGTTTTCACGGAGGCTACTTAGGGCTTGTGATGAAAACCGGTCTAGTCACCGGCATCATTTCACTTACCGTAAGACAAATGTTCCCTTTCTATAAATAGAATACTATTCCAACTTTGGATTTCATAATTTTGAGCACATTTCTTAAAATAGAATATATTTCGGAATTTTTTTTAGGAAGGAATTGCGGTCGGGAGGACTTTTGCAGCCTTGAAGAATTATCAAGTGGACGGTAATAAAGAGATGATTGCAATCGGTCTAATGAACATAGTCGGCTCGTCAACTTCTTGTTACGTCACAACAGGTCGTTATTCAATATTTACTTAGGCTAATTTTACCAAACATGGCTCAAAATCACTTATAAGCTATAAGCTAGTTTATCAGCCAGTTTTACCAAATATAGTCTTACACCATTTTATTTTCTTTTTCTTTGGTGATAAATAAATAAATTAATTAATAAATGTAGGTGCATTTTCGAGATCGGCTGTGAACCACAATGCGGGCAGCAAAAGTGCCGTTTCGAACATAATCATGGCAATCACAGTGATGGTCACACTCTTGTTTTTGATGCCGCTTTTTCAGTACACGCCAAACGTGGTCTTAGGGGCCATAATCGTGACTGCCGTGATTGGACTTATAGATGTCCCGGCCGCCTGTGAGATTTGGAGGCTCGACAAATTCGACTTTCTTGTAATGCTTTGCGCGTTTTTGGGTGTTCTGTTTATATCTGTTCAAGAAGGCCTAGCTATTGCGGTATACACACGGCACAATTTCTTGTACTTTAACGTTACTATCGAACAATTAAATATTTTTCAGTACTTTTTGGCTGATTTTGTATATTTTTTTATATTAGGTGGGGATTTCTATATTCAAGGTTTTGATGCAAGTGACGAGGCCGAAAACCGTGATGTTGGGGAAAATACCCGGGACAGATATTTACCGTGATATTTTTCAGTACAAAGAAGCAGTTAATGTGCCTGGATTTCTAATTTTGAGCATTGAGGCTCCAATTAACTTTGCCAATTCTACTTATCTGAAAGAAAGGTTTGGTTCTGTTGCACAAATTCTTTATTTCCCTTTGTATTGCTTGTCATTTGTTTTCCTCCTATGAAGATAAAATGGAATATAATATTTGTGGTTAGGATTATGAGATGGGTGGAAGAATGTGAAACGGGCGATGCAGGAAAACGATCGCGTCTTAAATTTGTGTTACTCGATTTATCAGGTAAGTAATCGAATACCAAAAAGAGAAAAAAAAAAAAAAAAAATTGCTCCATGTTGTAAATTTTAAGGGAATGAAAGTAAAATCGTAATTATAATCCTCGTTTTCAGCTGTTAGTTCAATCGACACGAATGGAGTGTCATTCTTTAAAGACCTGAGAATTGCCCTGGAAAAAAGGGACTTGGAGGTAAATCAATAAACAAATTAATCAAGAAAGGCTTTTTTTTTTTTAAGTCCTGATGATATTTATGCCTTGTGATCATTCCCTAATACTTATGTCGAAATTGAACAGCTTGTGCTCGTGAATCCTGTTGGCGAGGTGATTGAAAAATTGCAACGAGCAAATAATGACGAGACAAAGGAGTTGTCGAGAGGCGGTTGCTTGTTCTTGACCGTTGGTGAGGCGGTTAATTTCCTTCAATCGTCTGTTAAGAAAGACCTTGTGTGACGATCGGAGGCCGGTTTTTCAATGTAGTGTTTTATGGATTTTGAAAATGTGTGAAGGTTTGTTGTGGAAAGATAGAGCTGTTCTTTGTGCAATTGCAGCTTTAAGGCTGTGTTCTCATTGTCTACCATATGTACTATCTTTGCTTTGAGTTTTATAGTCTCAACTGTTTCGGGTTTGCTCTGTCTAGTGAAAGCATATTCCAAGTGGCTTCCCTTTATTTTTTATTTTATTTTATTTTTTTTTTCTCAAGATAGTTTGGATATAATTTTTAGATTTTAATTTTTTGTAGACGGGAAAAGAAACTTAACATTAATAGATCAAATAGAATATAAGTCAATGCAGATAAGTTCATTAAGTTAAGAAGGAAAAACATCAACATTCCATATAAAAGGAGAGTTTGAAAAAGAAGCAAATTCTGCAAGAGCATGGGCAACATTATTGGCCGAGCGACGCATGTGATGGAGTCGTCTTGACGCTGCCGCTTGAGACATAAGACATCAATATTTTTAGACCAAGATCGAATAAAGCCATGTGTCTCATTGAAGTTGGTAACTGTTTGTATCGCCAACAAAGAGTCCGTTTAAATAAAGAGAGGAACTTAGTGCAGCAAGCAACATTTATCCAAACCTTCTTTCATTGCAAGGAGCTCACAATGGATAACCGAACCCAACTTACTGACTGGCATTCCAAAGGCAAAAGGAGCTCTACCTTGATCATCACGAGTGATTCTCCCCTATACCGAATCTGTCAGATTCATGTTGACACTTGCATCCACTTCAAGGTGGACTGAGTTTTTGGGGGGAGGGTACCATATGTGAATTATTTGACGGTCTTCTGAGCATTGAATATTCCGAGAGTCGCCGATTGTAATTTGAAGTTTCGAGCTATGCTTTCAGCTCCAGCCACAAACCTGAGATACTCATTGAGATTTGAGACCATATGGATAACCCTTTGTCTTTATTTCCAAATTAACGAAGTTGACAGAGCAAAAATTTTATGTCTTGAATATGCTTGGAGTTGGCTTCCCATCTATCTTATGTCTTCAAGTGATTAAGTTCATGTCTTCATTATTTCATATTTTTAGAGTATTTATTAAACTGAGATCCTGTCCACGCTGTGATGAAACTGCAAGTCTCTAATTTTTGGGTGATAGGTGATGAAGTTTCTGCCATTCTCCAGCCTTCTTTCACGACACTTTCACATACTATATCAATAAATAAATTATTGGCTGATAAAACAAACATTTAATATTTGAAAATATAAATTTACAAACAAAAAAGAGTGCACATATAAATTCTTGGCAGGTGCAAAGTATACAAACATGTGATCTCTGAAAAGTTAAATTCACAAGCAAGTAAAGGAGAAGATAAAAATAAACACATCTAAAATAACCATAATAAAAATTAAATAAAAGAAAAAAATATATTAAATATTTTTATTGAAAAAAATAAATTATACAAACTATCAAATGAGGAAAATTTATTAGAGTATGAATGAGATATAGAGGTGTTTACATTAAACCGTACCGAGAAAAGCAGGTTTGAAAATATTTTACGTAAGTCCAACAAAATCTCGTCAATTTAATTTATGAAATTTCTAGTAGAACTATGCTTTTGTAATTGTATCAAAAAAATTTCAAAAAGTTCCATAAAGTCTTCCTACTTTGAATACCAATTGCAGAGATTCTTCAAAAATTTTTAATTAAATACCTTGAATCTTAAAAATTTTTATAAAAAAATATTTAAAAGTCTCATCTAAATGCTGATAGAATTTTGAAAATACTACAATCTTAAAATCCTAAAAGGTGAAAAGTTTCAATTTGATATTCCAACATTAAGCTTCAATCAAATGTGATTTTCAATCTTAATATTCCAAATTAATTAATCTGAAATTTGAGGTATGAAAATGAAAAGCAAGAATTATCAATAAATTACGTTTTTTTTGGTCAAAATTAGCATTACCCAGGACGGGGGAGAAGAAAGCGAAGATGGGCAAGGGCGACAAAAACGACGATGAATTAGGTTGCAAGAAGTATGGTGTCCCTCTCTACGGCGCTGCGTGGCTTCCAACAACCGCCCCCGCCGCCGCCTCCGTTGAAGAAGATAAGGCAGCTGAGCCGGGAACTCCGGCGTCGATCAGCCGCTACGTCGTTCTCGCTGGGGGTGGCGGAGAAGGCCACAGCGGAATTCCCAATGCTCTCCTCATCTCATCCTTTGATTTCGAATCCGCGTCTCTCTCAGATGAGCCCGTAAGCTTTTCGATCACTGATTCTACACACACACACACACAAAATTGTGTATATTGATGAATCAGTCTTTTGTAGACACAATCGGCATATCCTTAATCCCATTTTTGATGAATTATGTTATCCGTCTTTCAAATTAATTGGACAATTGAGGAGAATGTATGGTTATGATTTTTATTCTCTGATCCAAGTACGATTAGGACTGCTGCTTAGTGAGAATGCGTTGATATGTTTGGTACATTGTATTGGTACGAGGATATGGCGACATTCTTGTGATAATCATTTTGAAAAAAAAAAATTCTCACAGGAAAGGGAAGTTAGAGTTCATGTCTGGAGAACTTTGAGAACGAACTTCATATAGAAAAACAATTTTCTTTTCTTGAGTCTTTTTGTTGAGAAGTATTCCGATGTTATTAAGAGATTTTTGCTGGAAAGCCATTTTACCAAGTGTTATTGAACTAAAAATAATTTCTTTATATTAACTCGAGTTTGGTGAAGTAGTTGGAAAAATTCATATTTGAGATGTAATTAACTAAGTTGTTTTAACTTATATTACAGGTGATGTTGTAGTGTGTTTGGTATTTAGACAGAAAGAGAATTTGAATAATATGAAACTTTAATATTACCTTTAAAGATGTGGACAATGTTGTCTGAGAAACTAGTACTTCTCCCTTCTTTACAATGAAATGTGGCTTAAACTGCATAAAAATAATCCATCTTGCAATGGACTTCAACATCTTTGATTATTTTTTTGGGGTGTGGAAGAATGCTAATGAAGTCATCTCTGAAGCTTACAATGACATGAAGTATGTCAAAACCTAAATGCTACCCTTTTCTATTTGCTCGAATGAATTTCACTGTTATTTCCTTTCTTGGTTATCATTTGAGGTCTCAATTACTTGGTATTTCCACTATATAGGTGGCAAAACTTGGAACAGGTAGTGATTTGCCATACAGAATTGCAGTGCATCCTGGGGGAGAAGGTTTAATCTGTTCATTTCCCAAAAGTTGCAAGTAAGTTCTATCGCAATATGTTAACTGATGTTTATTGATATGCATCTCAGCTTTGGACTCCCCTTATTTGCCACTTGGTATGAAATTATAATCTCATCTGAGGCATCTATCATAACCAACTGGAAACAATCTACTTCAAATTGGAAATTGCGAAGTTCGTTATAATTTCCTTCCTGCTGGTGAAAGATACTTTACTGAGTGTTTGCCTTTCCCATGATAATTAATAAATTTTCTCCCCGTTCTCTAATCTTTTAGGTTTATTTCAATTCTATTGCGGAACGTATCACAAGCTAAGAATTCATTCAAAAGTATAAGTAGCACGAATTTTTAATTTAAGTGCTTTCCGTAGTTTTATGCCCTCAGTTCACTTTGTTGCTTACTTGATCCTCTGTTGTGAACTCGAAATATTACCAAATCTCTGGCAGTTAGTTGTAATCTTTTGTTACCATGTAGATGGTTTGAGTGGGATTCAACCACTGGCAAGGATGAGCATACATTGAATCTGAAGTCATCAGAGAAAACTCTTGTTCAATTGGAAGATGTTGGGCAACAATTAGCTATGACCTTCAGCAGTGAGGGAAATTTACTTGCTGTTGGTGGTGAGGTAAAAGAATTATTTATCAATATCATGACATGCTGTTCATTATAAAGTATATCCTAGTTGTGTAGCAAATTTATTCATTAATCATGGTTGTACTTGTCATGTCAACTTGACTTCTCTAAAACAGTGTGCAACTTATGAAAGAGGTAGATGATGGTTGTAAAATTTTGCATTTCTCTTAACTAATCTTCTTTAGTTTCTGTGCACTTTTCTAATTTAAGTACGAAAACTAGGCACTATTACGGGGAGATATATATGTGTAAATCTCAAATAAAAAGATCACAATATGATTGACAAAATGGTGCAGAGGTTATATAGGGCTGAAAATCCCGAATTATAGCTTTCAGTTGATTCCTTTTTATAATGACAAAGAAAAAAGAAAATGAAAACTGGGGAATGGTGATTTCCAAACTTCTCGAAGTTCTCTTTTTCCGTCTTTTTAAATTTCAAACAAACATGACTCGAAATATGAGGCTGGAAATCTTAAGCACATCATCTATACATAACTTATTTTTTCTGATTCCTTGTCTTTAGGTTCTATGTTTCTCTTGGAGTAGTTTATGGACAAGGTTGAAATTGGACTAGATCGTCCTCATTGTACAACCTTGTCTCCTATTTGCGTTATGTTTTGTTTTATTATCTCATGTTTGTGCAGCACAGGATGGCAAGTTAAGGGTTTTTAAGTGGCCTTCTATGGAAAACACCCTTGACGAGGCCAATGCTCATGCTTCTGTTAAAGATTTAGATTTCAGGTTCTCAGCAAACTCTTACAATATACAACACACCAATGGCAATTGATTTTAGGAATCACAATTATTACAGAATGATGAAGTTTCCGTTTTATTTCCTTTGTTTGTCTCATGCAGTCCTGATGGGAAGTTTCTCGTCTCTGTGGGAAGTGGCCCTGCAAGGATATGGAATGTCTCAACATCAACATCTGTAGCTTCTCTACCAAGGCAAAATGTATTTTTTTTTTTTTTTTTCTCTCCTATGAAATAGTGAAATGCTAATAAATTAAATTACCTATCGAACATATTAATGGTCCTGATCTCCAAATCTTTCTTTTACTTCTCCAGGATGAAATATTCGGTTTCTGCCGGTTCTCGCGGAGCAGCGACACAGATCAAGTTCTGTATATAACAGCAATGAGAGGTTAGTATTTTTATTTTCCAACTGTACTTAATTTTGGTTCAAATAAATTTCATTGATAACCACACCTATCCATTTTTGTTTTCTATATCTACAGATAAAGGTGGTTGTATCATAAAGTGGAACACTAGTTCTTGGAAAAGTATAAGTTCAGCACATGTTTCCCGAGATCCAATATCTGCATTCAATGTATCGCCTGATGGAAAGCTTCTGGCAGTGTAAGAACTAAGAATACGTTTANAAAAAAAAAACAAAAAAAAAAACGACGATTTTAAACTCCCCTTTTTCAGTTTCTTTGTCTAATAATTTGAAGGTACTCTATTTAGATTTTGCTTATTAAATTGCCTTTTTCTCCCACTCGCCTTCGAAAATCTGATTACAAAGTGCAAAGAAGATATGTTTACTTTGTTATACCTCCTTATCTAATTTCAACCCCAATTGAATATATTGCAGAGGAACTATACAAGGGGATATTTTGATATTAAGTTCTGCTAGCATGCGGATACACAGTGTTGTCAAGAAAGCACATCTCGGCCTCGTGACAACATTGGCATTCTCTCTAGACTCAAAGTTTGTGAACTCTTTTACATGCCATGTTACCATTCAAGTAGCTATCACGTGCTTAACTATAAACGATATTAATTTGGTTTGAAACAGGGCCTTGGCATCTACATCGCTAGATTCGAGTGCAAGGGTGACTTTGGTCAAGGAGAAGAAAAAAGAAGGTATGAAATTTTTTAACTTGCATATTTTGCAAAAATCTGCTCGACAATTACATAGCTGTAGGTTTCTTACTTGGTTGCTAGGGACGGTCAAGAAATATATTATCTTGATGATTTCTGCAAGTATGCAATAAATTAAAAAAGAACTAGTGTGAATTTTAAATCCAAATGGATAGGTATGTTAGTGTGTGGATGCACATATGTGAAATTGTGAATATGATTAATTCCAGCATATTTTATTTCATTCCATTTAATTTGCAGGAATGAGCTTGTGGACCATCATTTTGATCATCTTATTAGCGATAGCCGTGTATTATGCTACAACCAAAGATCTTCTTCCTCTGAAGTTGTGATTTTGCAGTGGAGTTATGGAGTCTAGATTATCTATTGCCAAAACACTATATGTGAAAGATAATATATTTTCAGACAGGAACTATGTGTGTCAGTACAATAAAATGCTTCATATTTTGATATTCTGATTGTGGAATTTTTAATAGCATTGAGACTTTTAGAGTACGTTAATGCTATTGCCACGTTCCTTCTCCGTTTCCATCTGCAAAATACCCTNNNNTTTGGTCTTTGATTATGATTTATGAGAAAGAAAGTCGTTGATTATGATTTATGAGAAATAAAACTAGTGCATAGCCCGTGCGATGCACGGGACACATATATTAATTGAGTCATTTCTATAGGGCTTGTACATTTTGGCAAAAAATAATAGGGTTGCATAATCAGTTTTCCACTTCTTTCAATCAGTGATATTTATTTTAGTCATGACGTTGATATATTAATTAATATATCATTCTGCTTACACGTTATATTAATATAAATTTAATTTTACAATATATATTTATTCATTGATATAAAAGAAATTATTCTTATTCTTGTTCACCATTTAATACTCAATTAATATTTTATTATAATATTTGTTGTCATATAATGTCATTATTATTATTTATAAAGGTTATAATAGTTGTCTACTTCTTCTTAGTTTATGTAATGAAGTTTAAAATAAAATTTTGTGTATAAATGTTTATAAAATACACACACATGTTTTTTAAAATTTCTCATAATAATTAAAAAAATTTGATTTAGCAAATTGTCAAATAATAAACCCTTATATAATCAAGAGATTTTTCTAATTTACATCCTAAGGTTTTATTAGTTTATTTAACATACTATGCAATATAAATATATATTTTACAATAAATTCATTATGGAAACAAATAAAAATAAAAAATGATAAAATTATCGTGGTTGACAATAATATATAAATAAATCAAATATTGAAACTGTACAGAATAGTTAATATATTTTAATTTTATTATTTAGCCGTTAATAAATTATTTAATGATGTGATTATTATCTCTTAAATGTAAATTATTTTAGTTAAAAGAAATTATTTGTGTATATAATTAAATAAAGGTTAAAAAATATTATCGAAAATTATTATTCACCAACTGGATTTCGGCTAATTAGTTAGAGGGAGAATTATTTAACATGTTACGATTGTTTATAAATATTTTAGGATGAAAGTCAACATTTTTGAAAAAAAAAATTAATATTATGGTTAAGACTTAAAATTTGTTTTCATGGTTATGTTGACAAAAATATTATCAACACCAATTATGAAAAATCAAATTATAGTTTATTATAATGAATATCAACAAAATTATTGCATATGATAATAAAATTATTCAAGGAAAGAATCTTTTTGATCATATATGATTTGGAAATGTGTATATATTAAAGCAATTAATGCATATATTTAAAAATTTCCAAATAAAGTATGCATTAAATGCTCATTGACTTTTTTGCTACTATATTTAGTAAATAGTAATTCTTTTTATAGATATATAGATATAGATGTGTTAACCTTGATCAAATGATTGACATTCAATAACTGATGGCAATTAAGGTATTAAAAAAATGATGTTCATATTCATGGTATTGGTAATTTTGTCAAAATTAAAGTTCATTCCTCGAATAGTTTCGAGAGAACATTTGTTTTCTCTATACTGATTTGACAAAGTCATTGATCAATGGTCAATAAACGTGATTATATTCAAATAATGTTCAAATATAACCAGGAAGATGAGATAAAATAATTAAGTTGTTCAAATAGATACAAGTTCAAAGTCCTAAAGCTTGATATAGTGGTTTGTAATGAAATTACTGTATCACTGTTGAGTTCTATACAAAATGTTTTGTTTGCTTTGTCCATGTAAACGTACTACATATTCGTAAGGGTCATAAATTATATGTCAATATATGAAGGCCTATAAAGTTACAAGATACGCAATCATCAATTTTCCCACCCAAAGTAAATAGAGAGTGTTGAACATTCAATTAGATTGTAATATGAATTTATATAAGTAATGAGATAATTTTTTATTTGATAGAAAATATTTAATTAAGTTAAATTAGATTTATAATTAAATTATTATTTGAATTAGCGTCCATTTACATACTAGGCCATAGGGTGTGACAAAGCCCATATGATTAGGTTTGACATAATATATATATATATATATACCTTATTGTTCATCATGTTCAAGATCGAAGTTATTCTTTTATATTATTTTCAGTTTATCATAAGTTTATTATATTATCTCATACTTTATTAAATTTTCTTTTTTAGATTATTTTCAGTTTATTTTAAGTTTATTACATTATCTATATACTTTACTTAAAGCAAGTTTGAAAACTTTTAGTTAATCTTAAGTTTATTATCTAATTTTTAACTAAATGACAAAGAAATAAATAGACAAAGAAATCAATTAAAGAAATAAAGAGAATATAAACTACAAATAAAATAAAATAAAAAAAACCAAATTAGTAACCATAGTCAAATCTTTGACTATATATAAACATCAAATTAACTTCCAAAATAATTCAAAACATAAATATATCACATAAATTATTCAGAAATTAATAAGAACACAAATGTCTTCTCCAAGCAAAGTTCCCTTCGATATGCATATTCCCCAATCTGGATATGTTTTCCCCAAAACCACCTACAACATGTTATCATCATTTGTCAGCAACCTTTTGAAGAAATTAACTGCGCTCCACGACATCCAATTTCTAAACTTGGGCGGTCAGTAGCTCCACCAGCACTTCGCCAACGGCCGGCAGATCGTCGAACACCATGGCCCGACCCAGATGAACACCATGACACAACCGACGTAGTATTTGGTCATCTGCACGATTTGCTTCTCGGGCCTTGGGCCGCTAGAATTCAATCATCAATTTTTTAGATCTTAAATCATAGATCTAAGATCAATGAAACCTCCTCAACAAAAAAATAAAATTAAAATTTACTAAACCCTAAATCAGTAAACACACCTCGAGGCCACAAACGGTGCAGGCGGTGGACGGTGCAGGTGGTGGGAGGAGGGAGTCGGAGAGGGAGAGGATCTCAAAGCGAGGGTGACGTTGGCGGCGATTCCGGTGGCTCCGAGATGCAGACCATCCGTTAGCGTCGGGAACCACCCCAGGGCCAGAAGAGCAGAGCGCGAAGGTGAAGGCCGCCCATAGCCGGAGGAGGAGAGCAAGCCGCGGCCGTGGCGGAGGGGAGCAAGCCGCGGCCGATAGACAGAGAAGAGGAGGGGCGCCGGAGAATGAATGATTTACTTCTGGAAGGGGAGTACTGGGAGGATTAAAGCCAGAGAAACTAGATATACGGTGTGTTTAGTGTTTTATAGAGATGCTTTAGGGTTTGGGGTTTGTAAGGAGAAAATTAAGAAGTGTTCACATCTAAGAATTCAGTTCTGAAATTAAAATGTTAAGAAATTCGTAATTAAGAGCCAATTCACATAGAAGTGGATTGAAACTTTTCAATTCGCACATCTATATATATCTAAAAAGGTTGATGTAAAAATCATTTTTAGAAACCTAAAATAAATTAAGTTGACTTTTGACTTTCTATTTATGTAATCTCAATCAAATTTTGAAAAACAATCGTGATAAGGATTATGGAATACGAAATTGATAATTCCGATAATTAAGGCATTAGATATTCCTTTTTTTAGCAATGGATATACCCTTAACGTGATAAGATATCTACATATGATTGCATATTTTGTTGTTGCATCCCAAAAATCATGAAATTTAATATCTATCCAAATACAATCCATAATTATCTTCAATCACTTTTGGTGAATAAAAACAATATCTTCCATTTTTTTTTCGGTCAATTCAAACGTGCAGAAAAAAAAAATTGTATAAAAGGATATTCACTTCCACCATTACAACTCATCATTCACGAGTTGAGAGAAAAAAAAAATACAGAGAACAATTCTTCACATCGACAATATAATGCTTCCAGGTTGGGGTACACTTGATTCCGTTAACGGAAGAAACAAACATTTTTTGCGTTTGAGAGCAGTCCGCATTATTGAAACACATCACGAACGGGAGAGTTGGAATGCATTCCATATACTGTTTCATGATGAACAGATAATATTTACCTTTGTTATTTCAATTTTATATAATTTGAGAAATTATTTTAATTAATATTTATGAATTTGTATCGTAGGGTGCATTCATTAAATGCAAGGTAATATTTACCTTTGTTATTTCAATTTTATATAATTTGAGAAATTATTTTAATTAATATTTATGAATTTGTATCGTAGGGTGCATTCATTAAATGCATAATACGTTATCTGAATATGACAGCATTTCGAGGTAGACTGAACGAAGGCGAGGTGTATTCAATCTCCAACTACAATATTGAATTTAATAGACATTGCATAATTTAGACATTGTATTCAAACCTTTTTTGCGTTTGAGAGCAGTCCGCATTATTGAAACACATCACGAACGGGAGAGCTGGAATGCATTCCATATACAGTTTCATGATGAACAGGTAATATTTACCTTTGTTATTTCAATTTTATATAATTTGAGAAATTATTTTAATTAATATTTATGAATTTGTATCGTAGGGTACATTCATTAAATGCATAATACGTTATCCGAATATGACAGCATTTCGAGGTAGACTAAACGAAGGCGAGGTGTATTCAATCTCCAACTACAATATTGAATTAACCGATCTGTTCAGACATTGCATAATTCATGGAATGAAATCCGGATTTTTCTTTTTTTCTCGCGTTTCCTATTTAATATTTGAAATCGCACAGATAAATATTCAAGCGTTTTTAGTTAAAATCTGTTCACGCGTTTCCCAATCTGCACTGATATATCTATTATTGCAAATAAAATTTGTTCACACATATGATTAATTAGGAATCACGTGTTTCACAATCTGCACTGATATATCTATAACAAATTTGCACTGATATATCTATAACAAATTTTCTAATTATTAAAACATGTGCCATATTTTTTGCAATTTAAAAAACAACCATTCCTTATTTTATGCACGCTAATTTGAAAGAGAATCCTATATATATATAGTTGTGGATTTTTATCATCTTTTTTCTTTTTTTTTAAGCGATAATCTGTTCAGGCATTGCATAATTCATGGAATGAAATCCGGATTTTTCTTTTTTCCTCGCGTTTCCTATTTAATATTTGAAACCGCACAGATAAATATTCACGCGTTTTCAGTTAAAATCTGTTCACGCGTTTTCCAATCTGCACTGATATATCTATTACTGCAAATAAAATCTGTTCACACGTATAATTAATTAGGAATCACGTGTTTCACAATCTGCACTGATATATCTATAACAAATTTGCACTGATATATCTATAACAAATTTTCTAATTATTAAAACATGTGGCATTTTTTTTTTTCAATTTAAAAAACAACTATTCCTTATTTTATGCACGCTAATTTGAAAGAGAATCATACATATATATATATAGTTGTGGATTTTTATCATCTTCTCCAACTCATATAAGTTTCAAAATTCAGAGAATAAAACACATCGAAATACAGAGGAAAAAAAATATAGAGAAAAACAAATGCACTGAAAAAAGACAAAAAAAAATGGCACAGGTCTGGGATACACTCGACAAAGTCAATCGTAGCAACAAACCTTATTTGAAACTGAGAGTAATCCGAATTTTTGAGAGGCAATTCGACATGGAGTGCAGGAATTTCATGGAAATCGTCTTTTATGACAATATGGTGAATTGTTACATAAAACTTCTATACTTACGTTAATTATTTATATTGTTGGTATTATACGTTGAGCGCATATGGCAATATTTCGAGAAGTATTTAAAGAGGGCCAGGTATATGTGCTCCGCAACTATGATGTTGAATTCAATCACGGGAGGTACAATGCACTGAATAGAAGAACTCATTTGTTCAAATACGAGGGGAATTTTCCTCACATCTAATGAGTGGCTAGAGACCGAGAAGATTAGAAGCCGTTAAAAAATACTGATGTAAGTATATTTGTTCAATTTACTATGCTTTTTCTGCACGCCTTTCTTAGTAGTTTGTGATATTTATTGTTATTCCATGTCGTTGAAAATTCTGAATTCTATTATTAATTTTATTGTTATTATATTTAATGTCGGTGCATATATTGATTGTTATTATTCAAAGTTGTATATAAATAATAATTTTAATAATCTTTTTTTATTCAAAGCTGTATATACATTAATACTTAAAATGTTAAACGCAAAGATAAGGTTGAAATAGACGGGTCAACGAATTCGATTAAATATTTATGGAACTTGCTTAAAACATCCGAAAGTATCTACTTACAAAATTATTAGGAATTGACTGCAAATCTTTCAAATATGAAATATTGTATTTAGTATTTACGTACAAAAATAACTGAATAATATAAATTACACCAATTGGTTATATTGTTTCCTTATATTAATGTATAGAAACCTATTTAATATAATATAAAACACATATAAATTTAATATACATCTTATCCCAAAATGAGATTAGATGCAGTCTTTATCTTTTGTAATATATTATTATTTCAACGCGTAGGAGATATACATATATAATGAGATATACGCGTAGGAGATATACACGTTTAAAGAGAGACGATGCATTCATTATTTTTAAAGTATATTTGATCAACCGGTTTTAATAGATATAATATATGTAGGAGATATTGCAATTAATATTTACGTACAATATTAATACATTTAAGTATGGAATCTTTCATATATAGATTTTAAATTTTTTGTTTTACTTCTACTATAAATAAATTAACGAAATTTTGGTAGAATACCATATTATAAGATATAAATTAATAAATTAATATTCAAATGTTGAAGGCAATAGTAAATCAGTTATATTATTTCCTAATATATGTAGGATAAATTGCAATTAATATACACGTTTATAGAGTTTGTTATGCATTCTATAATTTTTAACTGCGTAATCAACCAGTTTTATTATTTCCGAATATATGTAGGAGATACTGCAATTAATATTTACGTACAATATTAATACATTTAAGTATGGAATCTTTCGTGTATAGATTTTAAAATTTTTTTTTACTTGTACTAGAAATTAACTAAAATTTGGTAGAATACCATATTACAATATATAAATTAATATATACAATTAATAGATACATACGGTACCCATGCGATGCAATCTTCCACGAATATAACACGTACATACGGTACCCATGCGATGCAATCTCCAAATTCAAAATTAATTGAAAATTTTAGTTTGTAGTGACGGTGACTCGCCGCCAAATCAAACGAAAAACGTTGTGTACAAAACAATTTTCAATAATTTATGAATTTTTTAGTTTGCGCCCAACGTTTTACTTTTGTTACAAATATAACAAGTTCATTAAATTTAATATTTAATATTAAAAAATATTTAGAAATATACCATCCCGTGCATCGCACGGGCAATTACTAGTTCAGAAATAAAAAGACATGCCGCAGTGGAGGGTAATTATATCTTTTAATTATTGTGAAAAGTATTCACAAGAATCCGATTATTAATAATAAGCCAACCATCTAAAATGATTATAAGTGAAAAAAAACACCTCACACTTTAGAATGTTCAGAAGATATCTACACCTTTCTCTAATCAAGAAAAAGAGAAAAAAATAAAATAAATTAATCCCTGCACTAATGTACATTTCGACTGAATATTATATACTGTTTTGTTATTTTATTTTACACCCAAAAAGTGTGAACATCATAATCATAGGCCAGTCTCTTTCTTTACTTTCTAGAGATAACCCTACAGAATCCAGTTAAAATTTGCCAATCACTTCACAAACAAACACATTCTATTACCCTTTTCTACCGAAAAAAAAACCCAATTTATTCTCCAATTTAATCTCACCAGCTCCAGCCTCCAGCAGCAAAAATATGGACTGTCCAATTCCCTTAAACCCCAAGAGCAAAACCCTCGTCCAAAATCCCAAAAATCACAGCACACAGAGAAAGGCCATGGAGAATTTTCGAAATATTGTTTTCAAGCTCGCCGAGTCCCACCCAAACGCGGCCTTAACTCCGTCCGCCAAAAACCTTATCCTGGAGCGCCTCGACCGGTTTGTTTCGCAGTACAAAACCCCCGATCACCCTCCTTATTCAGCGGTATTCATTTTTTTATTTTTGGCACCCCATTTGTTTAATTTCTGTTCTTGCTTATGTTAATGGGGATTTCAGTACTTGATTGATTTCTTTATTTTGGAAAGTGTGCGTCTGGGAACCATCGGAAATTCAATGTTAATGTCTTGAATCTTGCTGGTACTCAGGAATTGTGTGGGTGTGCTGTTGGAAAAAAGATTAGATTTTTTTTTTGTTTTTTTGTTTTTTGTTTATGTTTCTGGGTATGTGTAATGTTGGGTCATATTGTTCATGCATGGGAGATGATAGTGATATCTGATATGCATGTGTTGATTCATTTCTAAAATCGTTTTGTGTTAGTTGATTGTGGTTTATTTATTTATTTAACTTACTCAATTTATTGTCTTAAGTAGTATTATATCCAAATCTTCTAATTTGTTTCTCTATGTACTTTTATGTGTATGGATGTTGATTGAAGTGAACTTTTCTACCTTTTTATCTCTATATGAGATGAATCTCAGAAATGGTGTATGGACACGAATGGCGTGAATGTGTATTAATTACATGACATTAGCTTACTGGGTCAATTTCTTCATAGGTGAGAAATGGGTGTATAATTTGAATCTAAGGGGCATAGCAGTAACTCTTGAAAGCCGTCTCAATAATTCGCTTCATTTTCAATCAGACTAGTGCTAGCTTGTAGATAGTGGTTAGTTGTGACTTTTAAAGCTTAATCATTTAATTACTCGAATCTAATTGGGTTGAAAGCTTTTAAAACTTATTTGCTTCCACCAGTGCTGCTTTGGATACCAGTTTACCAAAATTTTATCTGAGGGACAATTTCGTCTAGCATTTTTGAATGCGTTTTAAAGAACGCTTTTGAAAATTGGGGTGGTGCCATCTGACAAGTTTTAGCCATGAGTGGTTCCATTGAGTACAGAACAATAATATCCTCCATTATTCGAATCTTTCCTTTTTTACGACCTTTGAGTGGTGGAATTTGGAGTAGGTGAGTTGTTAGTGCGGTAAAATTGTTCATGAATATTTCTTTTGGAATAACTTGTAAACTACAGATTATATCATTCTTGAGAATGATAAATCTTAAAGAATTAAGATTTTGAGTGGGCCACTAAAATGTTGCTTCTGGGAAAAAAATGTAGTAAATGATTCATTCTATTTTTCTTTTTGATGTTTTTTTTATGGTATCACGTCTCATCAATGATCTTTCGAGAGGTTGATTAGCTTTTACGTTGCTTTTTAGCTAACCATCTGAAATAATGCAAGATCTTCTACAACAGGGAATAAAACAAGGTTAGTTGAATCATTAGTTTGGAAAGAAATAGCTGAATTGGTACCTTTACTTCTTCAGTACAATAACAAGCACTTAGGGTAGAATAAATGGCCAAATTGTTGACCTTTGTGTTTGTATCGAAAAATGTTATATTACAGAATCTCTTGACTAATAATTTCTTTTGATTTGCTAAGCCTGAGCCAAAACTATCACTTTAGCATGCGTCCGCAAGGCTGAAAAGAAAAGGCCCGGTTGCGAATACTTTAAGCCACAACTAAGTGAAACAATGATCCAACAATTAGCAACAATATATCTTTGCTTATATCTTCTTCATGTTGTGCATTTTTGGAATCATGTTGATTTTGGAAACATTTCTGCCATTAATGTCCTTATTTGAAAAACAACATTCATTGCTCTATTTTATTGTTTATATTAACATAGCCATTGGATCATCTTATTCATTACCTGTTGTCCTGTTCCCGTTTGAAGTATTTCAAATGATAACTGCAAATACCAATGATATAAATATCGAATCACGTACATGACATAAATTTCAAAATCTGTTTTATTTGTAGCAAATCCATTCACATAAGTTTTATGCGAGAACCAATTTAATTAATTACGTAGATTTATTACCGCTGTCGATTTGTTATCTGAATTATTTACAAAATTACATTATAATTTATGTTACATTTATTTACTTCCCAGATGATAGAAAGGGCCATCCGTGAGCTGAATGAGAAACGAGGCTCGAGTGAGGACTCCATATCAAATTTCCTGGTTAAGGAGTATGATAATCTACCGTGGGCCCACCCGTCAGTATTGAAACACCATCTGAAAACCCTCTGCAAATCTGGTGATATTATCATTACAAATAAAAAACGATACAAACTCCCGGGCAAAACCGAAATTCCCGTTATAAATTCCCAGCGTATGGAAAAAAAAGTCGAGAGAAAGCCACCGAGGAGTAAAAAGCGGTTGAAATGGGACTGGGAGAGAGTGAAGAAGAAGAGGTTGAATCGAAAGCCTGTGCTTAAGCTGAAAATCAATTTGAGGGGTAAAAAAATCGAAGCAATTGCCGAGAATCAAGAACGCAAGCGTGTAAGTGAAGAAAATGTCGGAAATGTGGCTTCCAGTGCTGACGTGGACTTGAATTCGAATTCTCAGCAGCAAACAGTGGGCCCAACTGAGATTATCGAGCCTGGTGCCAGCTGTACATCCACACACGAGCATCCCGATCCCGTTGACTTGAATTCTCGGCAACAAACCGAGAAAAACTTCGATTCTCAGCAGCAAGGAATTGGCTCGTCTGAAATTATGGGGCCCGATGATCATCAGCCCGAATTGGAGAAACCTAATGACTTGAATTCTCGGCAAAAAACCCAGAAAAAGTTCGATTCTCAGCAGCACAGAATTGGCCAGCTCGAAATAACGAAGCCTGATGCCAGCTCAGCATGCACAGACGTGCAGCCTGAATTACAAAAACCCGAGGACTTGAATTTTCAGCAGCAAGCAGCAATTGGCAGGCCTGAAATAACAGACCCTTCTGCTGCTTCTGATCCGGCCCAATTGGAGAATATGTCTGATTTGGGCCTTGCACGTGTGGGCCCAAATTCTTCTGAGGAATTACTAATCTCAGATCGCGCGCGTAGACAGCAGAGACGTTGGAGTATGTGTCCACGCGAAAGAAAATCCTTAGTAGCGATGAATTCTATGGAACTAATGACCTGTCAGAATCAAGAGGAAAATCTTTCGCTGGACTCGAGTCAGTTAATAATAAGCATGCAAAAGGATCATGAAAGCAAAGTGAAGTCAAACGGAGAAAATGCCAGCTCAGCACTCACAGATGAGCAGCCTGAATTGCAGAAACCAGAGGACTTGGACTTGAATTCTCAGCAGCTAGCAATTGGGCCACCTGAAGTTACAGAACCTGAAGCCACTGTTTGCATGCAGTCCAAACACATTGGGCCAGAGATTCTGGGCCCTCCGGGCCCAGAACAAGCCCGATTAGATTATCCTCCTAATTTGGGCCCAGAGTCCAAGGAATTAGTTGACTCAGAGCGCGCGCGAAGACAGCAAAGACGTTGGAATATGAGTCGGCCCGAAAAAAAAGCGACTTCTATGGAATTAGTGATTTCACAAAATCCAGACGAAAATAATTCGCCCGGTTCAAATCTTGCAAGTGTGTCAGAGCCAAAGGATGAAGAAAACAACGTGAAGTCAAAAGGAGGCAAGAAATACAATCGGAAAAGGAAACCAGATTTGCTCACTTTACCCATTTTGACAAATCAGGAGGTGCCAGCTCAGCAAGACGCGATTTTTCAGAAGGAGCCGCGCAGGAGTCTAAGGCTCCGTTTGGCAAAACCTGAAGTCACGAACGATGCAAATGTTGTGCTGGCACTGCCGTCGCAGGATTTGGGGGAAAAAGTCGAAGAAGGGCTTTTAAGTGAGCCGTTAAATAAAATGCCCGTTAATGGGTTAGATGAGGAGAAGAAGATGTTGATGAGTTTAACGGATAGAAGTCTAACTGCTGCAGTGGGCCCGATTAACTGCACGGGCCTTGGTGGAGTTCCCAAGCATCGGCCCCGGGGGAGACTGGCTAGGTCCAATGCTGGCTTAACCCAAGCAGCTTGATGAATCATGAAGAAGTTTGTTGATTGATGCATTATTTTTTTAGTTCATTTAATAAATTTCCTGCTGGTTTGAGTTTTTTTTTTTCAGGATTTAGTGCTGCCAAATTTTTATTGTCATTGCTTGGCCGGCCATGCGTATAGTTGGTGTAGTGTAGATACTGTTTTTCCAGTGGATTATTTTCCTTAGGTTATTTTAAAACTGTGATGGCTTGTGACTTGTGAGGATGAATTCGTTCTGGTGATTTGAGACATGTCAAACTGTGATAGCTACTTATGGTTTGTTTTGGTGCTTTTGTGTTCGGTTATAGCAAAGTCGCACCGGATAAAAGATGTGAAAAATAAACGAATCGAACGATATCATGCCTAACTATTGAATCAAATTGCATGATTCAACTTGATTTTTCAGTTTCGGCTCATTTTTCTTTACTAATCTGGTGTAGATTATTATTATTATTACTAGCGCGTAGCCCGCGCAATGCACGTGATGGTATATTTTTCTAAAATGTTTAACGTGTGAAATATTAAAAATAATATAATTTATACATATGTAACAAAAATAAATGGATTGCAAAGAAGGGAAAAAAATATAAATTATTGAACACTTTCTTTGTGAAGTAAAATTTGTGAAGCTTTGATATATTTGATTATGAATAGAAAAGTATGAAATACTACCTGCGGACCGTTGAGATAGATGAGAAGATTTACTTAGAATATATAGAATAAATATTGAGATAATGATTTACCTTTTACCTAGTATATATAAAATAAATATTGACATGATGTGGGAAAATTATGACGAATTATGACATAAATTCGTTTAGAAGTTAGTAGAAAATATTAAAAAATTAGATTTATTTTTTATTTTTTAAATCCTTACAGTAATTCGTACGCTCCTTTTCATACGCTTAATTTATCAAGTTTACACATACAAATCAAAATTAATGCAACTCGAAATATTATATAACAAATAAAATGAGATTTTTTATCTAACATTTAGTATATTGCCGGAAAATCTTTTATAAATCTTATTCTCTTTTTATGCACATAGATATTAAAGAATGAGTAAAAAAATTATCTAAATATGTTTAAAAGTATCTAATATTATATGTGTTAACAATGTTACAACCAAAAGACATTAAGAATACGTAGACTATTATATAACATATGTGAAAGTATTAAAATATTTTATATTATTATCGAAAAATGTGAAATTACCTCAATTCTGTCTAGACTATTTTATAAGAAAAATATATATACTTAAAGTTAGCATAGACACACACACACACACACACACATATATATATATATATATATATATATATATATATATCCTTAAAGTTTGCCCAACTAACATGTTTAAAAATATATACAATTTTATATATAAAAACACGTTTAAAGTTTACATATTTTACAAAAATTAGACTGCTCTCAGTTTATATGAAGTTTGTTGCTCTCATATTTTATGCATTTAATGAAAGCACCCTACGATACAAATTTATAAATATTAATTAAAATAATTTTCTAAATTATATAAAATTGAAATAACAAAGGTAAATATTACCTGTTCATCATGAAACAGTATATGGAATGCGTTACAGCTCTCCCGTTCGTGATGGGTTTCAATAATGCACAAAAAAAGTTTGTTTCTTTTGTTAACGGAATCAAGTGTACCCCAGACATTATATTGTATATGCGATGAAAAGCCTAGATTATTCTCTGTATTTTTTTTCTCTGAACTCGTGAATGATGAGTTGTAATGGTGGTAGTGAATATCCTTTTATACAATTTTTTATTAACCAAAAGTGATAAGATAATTATGGATTGTATTTGGATAGATAGTAAGTCCCACGATTTTTGCAATGGACAATCAATTTCACATATTTTTTATTAACCAAAAGTGATAAGATAGTTATGGATTGTATTTGGATAGATAGTAAGTCCCATGATTTTTGCAACGGACAATCAATTTCACATATTTTTTATTAACCAAAAGTGATAAGATAGTTATGGATTGTATTTGGATAGATAGTAAGTCCCATGATTTTTGCAACGGACAATCAATTTCACATGCTTAATTAACGAAAATATCACCATTATTAAGGAGAATATCCATTTGCTTAATTAACGCAAATTTCATGCTAAATTAACGAAATATCCACTGCCTTTTCACGATTTTTCTTCCGATTTTAAAGTAGAATACATAAATAGAAAGTCAAAAGTCAACTTAATTATTTTTAGGTTTCTAAAAAGGGATTTTTACATCAACCTTTTTAGATATATATAGATTATTATTATTATTATTTAGTAGATTGGTGAACATACTAATTTGGTGTATATTATTATTATTATTATTATTATTATTATTATTATTTAGTAGATTGCTGAACAAGTTAGATTTAGGGCTTTAGGAGTCTTATTTAAAGATTCCTTCTTTGTTATTTGCAGTTGATTATGAATGATTGAAATGAAATAAGATTTGATATCGTGTTTTGGTGTTCTTGAGAATGCGATCTCATTAATATCGTCCCACTTCCCTACATCAGTTGGTATTAGCAGTCAGTACGATTCGCGATGCCGCCGGGATGACAAGGTGCCTCAAACGAACGACGTGACGCAACCTTCAACAATTGGTATCAACAGATCGACTACCGATTTCAACAGTTGGACGTACGTTTCACGGATTGGTTTGCCGATCTTTCGACGGGGATCGAGGATTTGCGTTTGACGCTTGACCGCGAGTCGCAACGCGGCAACATTATAATTTATATTTTCCTCAACTAACCTCTACTAACTAGTAGTAGCGGCAAGTAAGGATCGATCCCACGAGGAGTGTGAATCAAATTGTGAAATTCTTGTATTAATCGAAATAATGAAAAGGGATAAAAAGGGGGGTTGGTTTAATAACTAAGATCCTAATTAAATAAATAAAATCTAAACAATGCAATAAAATAAAAATAAAAATAAATAAATTAAGAGAAAGCTTATAGTTCACGGTTCCGTCTACACCCTCAACTGACTGTCTAATCAAATTCTAGAATCAAATCTCGCTATCTCATGGAATTACTAGCCCTAGGTAACGACACGGTCTGTTACTCGAATTTTTTCTTATTTTTAATTTAACCGCGAGACGCTCTACGATTAAACCTGACTTCTTGTACAGTCCAGAAAAACGTTTTCAAGATGCCGCTTTACGAATTAGAACAATAGGCTAGACTAAGTAGTGAACTCAACCCGTTCGTTCACTTAAATAGGCCGTGTTATCCCCGGTGGTTACCGTCTTCCGGTAGCCTCTCATGAACTAAACACAACAACAATTACGGATTAAAGGTCTAATCAACTGTAGATATGAAAAGTCTAATCTAGGTGGTCAATCTAAATAAGACTCAACACATCATGGTTAATTATTCAAAATAACACAAACAATTTCAAAAACATATTGAAATTATCAACCACGTAAATTAATCAAACATCGTCAAGTCGTAAGGTTCAACATCACCGGAAGTAGAAATAAAAACTACTCTAACATAATAAATAACAAAAGAAAGAGAATAAAAATGTTCTCTTTCGTGTTCGAGTGCGGTCTTCCTCCGTGATTGATCGGGTTCCCACTCTTTTTCCTCTGTCCGTTTGCGTGGTCTGTGTTTCTCTCTTCTGCTCGCACGAGTCAATCCCTTTTACTTTGATTGGCGGATGCGTGAATATATGTTCCAGCCGCTGCTCAAAATCTTAAGTGCTAGTTGAAATAATCCCTTCGTGGGCCCTTATAATGTGTGGCTGCTCTTTTATTATTTTCTCAAATAATTACTTCTCCTTAATCCAAATAAATCCTTTCAGCAAGTGGCCCTTTTATTACCAAGTGCTCATTGAAATCTCCTCTTTTTGTGTGGCCATGTGGATGGGCTACGTGGGGCTTTTTACTTTTTCTAAGACTATGGGTCAATTGGGCTTTGTTTAATTTGCATGTGCTCTATTCTGTCAGCAGAGTATGAGGTTTCAGCTTTATCTGTAGCTGAATATGGGGCACCCCCGTACTGTCTGCTTCTAATCTTCCTTCGATGTCTCGTCGTTCATAAAAATACTCCAATATCCTGAAAATAGACAATAAAATATCAAAGCACCAGAATCCATCTAAAGAAATAAATAAGCCGAAAAATATATAAGTGCGGCAAAATTAAGCATATAAAAGTACGCTAATAAATATATGGAATACACACTTTTTTCGGTCAATCAACTCTTGACAACGTGGTCTGGGATTTGCAGACGAACCGTGACGCCGGCAACTGGGGCGTGCGCGGGGGAGTTCGCGGAGGACGTGGAGGCAGTGGTACAGGCGGGGCGCCTCGCCAGAGATCTCCACAACCACCGTCCGGCGACGAAGACGGTGAAGAGATAGTCTTAGGGGTGAATCCCTTCGACGATTTTCCAACCCCACACGTCGAGGCTGACCCTTTCACTGCATACGGCGGCCGTGACATGCGACGACTGGGCCCGGTCTTCGTGAACGACGACGATCAACGCGACGACAGAGGCAGGCGTGAGGAGGCTACCTTTGCCCGCGGATATCGTGCCTATCACGATTGGGGACTTGATCGCGAATATGATCAATGGGAGGGCCGGTTTCGCATTGACATCCCCGAATTTGATAGTGAGCAAGTTGACGGGCCATTGTATGATGGTCGACCGATCTTTGATGAAGAGCCTTCGGTGACGGAGAAGAATCTTTGCGGGGAGAGTCGATGAAAATATTAACATTAAATATTAGAATACAGAGACGGGGCAAGTGATATCAACTTTCTCGACTGGAAAGATCCCTTATGTAGTGAGGCCTAATCCAAATGAGGATAAACAAAAATATTTTGTTAGCAGGAACGAGTGATAAGAAGATTGTGCAGGGGGATATTAATACAGTGTGAGAGTTTGGGATTCTGGTGGTTCTAAAGTATGTTAGTGAGGGAAGGTGTTGCAAAGTGTTTAGAACTTTCAAGTGTCATGAGGGAAGGTGTTGGTTTTGGGATGATTATCAAGAGAGTGTTGAACTGCTTAGGCGACATTCAACCTTTGTGTTCGACCGAGGGAAACAACGAGGGTTTTCTACCATGGGTTCGACACGCTGGTCACGGGAGCGCATCGGCTTTGAGGGCGAAGGTTTTCAAACCGGGGAGAATGGTATAGATTATTATTATTATTATTATTTAGTAGATTGGTGAACAAGTTAGGTTTAGGGCTTTAGGAGTAAAGACTCCTTCTTTGTTATTTGCAGTTGATTATGAATTATTGAAATGAAATAAGATTTGATATCGTGTTTTGGTGTTTTTAAGATTGCGATCTCATTAATATCATAATCACTCCTAATGTCTTCCTTTAACCATCCCATAATTTTTTCGAACATTATGGTTACTCCATCTAAAAACGAGTACTCGAACCAGCTTCTCCAAAGTTCTTCCTCCATTAAAATAGAAATATAGTTATTTCGTATATTTATTTTGGTTGATCTTTTTTTTTTTCGTTATTTTGGGTTTATTTATCCTCAGTAAATATCCATTCAACTGTACAGATCCGACAGTCGGATACACGTAAAATGAATGTATGCTCCCGTATAATTAGGGTCTGAGGTTCTTTATTTATTTATTTATTTATTTATTATTTTTTATTTCCATATTATTTCCGTATATGGATAGAGATATAATGTTGGAACTTGGAAGTATTCAACTTTTATGGTGTGTTGGATCAAAGATAGGCTGAAAAGTAGGGCAGTTTGGATAATCTTAATTACTTGTCATGTTTGAAGCATAACATATAAAAACCATAAAATGTGTCAAACATTCTATTATGTCCTTTCATATGTTGTTAAGCCTATTAATTTACTTAACAACATAAAACTTTTTCTTATTTGGGAGGGACACTCAAATTTAGGCATTTTAGTAGCTTGATCAGGTGTTTGTGAAAAAGTTTATTCAGGATTCCGCCACAGGTTCGCTTTCTGGATCAAATTCTTCAAATGATTCAAGTACGTATCTTTTCATAATCAAAATAATCACTTTTAATTAATTAACAACCTCTTAAATTAATTTAATTAAGAAAGCAATTAATTATATTTAATTAAGGATTTCTTCACGAAATATGGAGAGGCGAACCTGTACGAGATCCAAGAGGTTATCGACAAAGGAAGCTACGGTGTTGTGGCGGCAGCTGTCGAAACCCACACGTGCCAAAAAGTGGCCATAAAAAATTGACAAACATTTTCGAGCACGTGCTGGAGGCCACGCGTATTCTTAGGAGATTAAGATCCCCCGCTTGCTCACCCATCCGGATATCGTGGAGATCAAGCATATCATGCTGCCTCCGTGTAAGAGAGAGTTTACGGATGTATATATTGTGTTCGAGCTCATGGAGACTGACCTGCACCACGTCATTCGGACCAATCGTGACTTGACACCTGGACATCATCAATTCTTTCTCTATCAGTTGCTTCGTGGTTTGAAGTACATGCACTCAGGCAAAGTCCAATTTCTAGTAATATAAATATTTGCTTTTGCTTCACTTGTCTATTTTATTTTATTTTATTTTATTTGTTTCTTGTTTGCAGCGAATGTTTTACATAGGGATTTGAAGCCTAAGAACATTCTAGCGAATGCCGATTGCAAGTTGAAGATTTGTGATTTCGGTTTGGCTCGTCCGTCGTTTAGTGATGCCTCCTCTCCTGTTTTTTGGACTGTATGTTGTTATGTTTCTTTTTTAAGGAGCAATTTATATATATATATACATTAAGTATTCGTGTTTGGAGTATTTTATTTATTTATTTTTTTTAACGAAATATGTTGATTCGTATAGGATTATGTGGCGACTCGGTGGTATCGTGCTCCTGAACTTTGCGGTTCCTTCTTTTCAAGAGTAAGTTAATTACCACATTTTCTTGTGCTTTTGGTTGCATCTCGAATCTTGACGTATAGAACTTTTTCGTCGTTTTTAGAATTTTCCTAAATCTTTT